TTTACTTATGTCAAAATGCTCCTTTAGAAGCCACATAAAACTGTAAAAGACAATATATGAAAAAGCTTTCTTATAGAAAAGAAGAACACCATCCCATGAAGCAGATTTCCAGATGTTTGGAAACATTAGAATTTCCTGTCAGTATATTTAGGTAACATTAAAATGAGGTTAACTTTCCATTCTGCCATCTCTCTTCAAAGATCAAAGAGCGCTCACTGCATAAATTGCCTTATCAGTAATTCGTTGAAGTAAACTATGGAAACAACTTTATAAGAAGCAGTAGTCTCCTTTTGTTGGTTACAGTATGACCAAGCAAACTTTTCTTAAAATTAGACATACTTTTACCTCATTTTATACTAGATACAAAGAGAAAAATTTAAAACGCTGTATTTGAGTATATAATAAATGGATAGAAGTGAGGAGAGAACTGAAAACTCCCTTCTTGTGTTCAACTAAATCATAGTAATTAGTGTAATGTCTAATAAAATAAGCATACATGGACATAAATGTAATCAACAATATATTATGTTTGTATCGCTAATTTAAAAATTTTATTTAGGGATGGTTTTGTGGGTTTGGACACTTACAGTATCTTTGAAATTTAGATTGCATCTCTAGAACCTTTTGTGACCTATAGAACCCAACAAGGAATTTATTGATCTAACTGAAAATAGAGAGGCAAAAATTCAGATGTTACAATAAACCCCCCAAAAAATTGTTTAAATATTGCCTGTATTAAATACTTCTAGAGGCTGTAGCTGCAAAATAACATGAGATTCTCCTGTTCCTGGGAAATTATTGGGGTTTTGTGGGGGTTTCGGTATGGGTTTTTTTTGTCGCTTAATAATTTCTGTTTAAGGGAAAGTAATGCTACTGGAAGAGAGATTAGTAAATTTTTGGCAATACTGTACAAGTTTACTGTGCAGCTCATATAACCTTTCAGACACATAAAATACACACCTTTTAGTGGAAGTTGGGGTTTTGTAGAGGAGAGCTGGTTGGTTTCTTTAATTTCTTTTAAAGATGAGCTCTTTTCAGTTACCCTGAAGCTACTGTAGAAAGCCAGTTTTTAATATGCACATTTAAAAAAATTATTGAGATTATAACAGGTGTAATAAAACATGGATTTTTTTTTTAAATACCTTATCTAGTCTTATACATATATTCTCTTGAAATATCTTTAAGACAGAGCCTTCAAGTTTCAAGAAATTAAGGCACCAACTTCAGCTGGACTTCAGTGTGAGCTGAGTGACTTATTGCCTTTAACTTCTTTGCAAAATGTAGTTTTAAGAAATACTTAGCTGCTTATTTCAAGGCTTCTTTCCAAATCCCAGTCTAGAAAAATATCCCTTAAGAAGGAGCTTGTTAAGGACGAGAACTGGTAGCATCTGCCAGTTCCAGTTCTGTGCACGCCAATGTCAAAATGTTGCTTTCTTGAAATTATATCTAGTTTCATTTTATTTTTTTCCTGTTTTAATGGATTTGAAACATTTTCTAATTAGACTTAGGAACTGACATTAATACAATTCTGTATTGTGTCTTTAAAATACAAACTTCTTGTGTCCTAAAAAGAGTTTTAAATGAAATATCTGGAAATGAAATTAATTTCATAGTAATTTTGGTGGGGCTTTGAAAAAATAATTTGAGTTTTGATTTTTTTCAAACATGCTGAAATATCAAGTATTCATTTATTCATGTCTCCTTTTTATATCATTGTTAACAATACTAGACATAGTTTTATGTCATAATTTTTTATTCAGTTTGTTGTCTGGTTTTAAAGAGACAAGTTGTTTTTCTTTTTACTTTTATTTGGAGAAGTTCTCTTATTTTAAAACCTTTTTGAAGTTGTCTTGAAATATAAAAATAGAACATCTGTGACAGATCTGTTTTGAACATATTTCACATTTCAGGATTCAAGGAGATCTGGTGGTCTGTGGTATTCGCTTGTTAATTTCTTGATGAATGGGTAGAAAGGCCACAAAGTGCACTCAGTACAGCACGTCTTCCAAAGATAGATGATCTCAAATAAATTCTATTCCCAATCAGTTTTTGATTTGTTAGGTGTTAAACCATTTCTTTGTAAGGACAGTGTTTACAAGCCTTGTAATGAGACAGCCCTGTGAGACCTTACTCTTCTTGCTGTAATTTTGATAAATGGAACTCTAATTCATAAAGGATATAGTGATTGAAGGGCAACTCTGGGTCTCATACACTTTCATTTAGATAAATGTACACCTCAGTACAGCAAAACTGAGGCGCACTCAACAAAGTGATAAATTTAAACAACAGCCAAACCAGAGCTTTTTTCCATCAAGACAAAGAAGCATCATTTACTATATTTCTTTTAGATAAATGTGTGTTTAATATTATAAACCAGAATGGATTTTAGAAACATTTGTCTTGCTGCTAAGCTCCAAATTTGCCAAACTAATTTAATGCCTTCTACTCTACCATGTTTCTTACGTATATGGCAATATTTCTGTAATCTGGTAACTGGAACCCTAATCACAAGGGATTTAAAATACACTAAACTTCAGGTTCTTCTGATGCATTTTAAGTGTTAGTAATAATTTGGGGCTCAGAACTTTTTTTCCTTGTAATTTTAAAAATATATCTTCATGCATAAATAATTCTAAAGAACTGTCACTAATCTAATCAGTTACTACAGAAATGGTTGACTTTACGATTACTCCAGATTAGTACTTTAGAAGTTATTCATTTAAAGATTATCACATTTTATAAAGCTCAGAAACTTTCGCAACACTCACTATAACTACCAAAAAGGAAGAGAACAGTATTTTCATGCTTCCTTCCTCCACCGTGTTAGTTCATCTCAGGCCTGGTCTCCTTTAGTGTCAAATGCTTCACAGCAGGAGTTATTACTTTCGTCAAATGATGCTAAGCTCCCTTGTAGTAAACACAAGTGTAATGAGCAAGATCCTGATCTACCACTTAAATACTCGGGACAATTCTGACGTAATAAAACTGAAGGTCTGTTACAGCACATTACTCCTTTGTGTTTCTCCAAACTTTTACAATTCTTGCTCCTTTTTGTGAATTAGGAAGGAAAAAAAACCAAAAAAGCCCCAAACAAACAAACAAACAAAACCATCAAACCAAACAAAAACCCCTAAGCTTGGACATAATACTGAAAACTTTTTCACCTGTTAGTTACTTGATTCAATTTTAAATTGGGTGAATAAATACAGTTAGTTGTACTAAGTAGTAACCTATGCAAGTGAGGTAGTGATCACAGCCTAATAACTGAACACAGCAAAATGCAGTATATTAGTATATATCGGCATTGATACTGTCTTAATTGCTATCAATATCAGTATGGTCCTAATGGAGAGAGCAACAAATAGGAAGATTAGAGATGCTGTCCTTGATTTTGGGCTTGGTGAAAAAAAATGGGGTTTTGCTTACTTGTTTGGCTTTACCTGCTCTGTAGTTTCAGAAATAGCAATTGGGATAATAGCAATAGTATACAAAAGGTTAATATTAGGCAATGTAAAACATGCGATTGTCTCAGCCTGTGGTGGAGTCCGATATCAAGTGGCATGCTAACAGTGATCTTCAAACACTAACAGAAGAATATGCCTCCAGCATTTTTATTTATATGGATTGACTCTCCTGTGCACAAACTAATTAAAAGACTCATATAAGAGTAGGAGATAAAATCATAACACTTTCCCCACTGTTTGTAATAACAAAACTGCCTGACACATCAGTTCCATTCCATGCATCTATCTTCACTAACCTATCTGCTTACTGTATTCCTTTTAGTTGTCCTGTATTAATACGAGCCCACGAGTCTTATATTCAGCTTTACCTCGTGATTTTACATCTGCCATAACAGTATTCATCATGTGAAATTCAGGCATTATGGAAGACAAACAAAATCCACACGTGCCTGGTTTTGCTCAGATTTCACTCATTGTTCTGTAGCTTAGTAGTAAGCAAATCTTCAAATTATCATACAGAAAGGAGAGATTAAGTCTGGGTTTTATTTCTTGGTTGGCAGAACTGCAGATGCCCGTATCTTGTAGGATCCAAGGTGAAGGGGCAGGGTTTTCTGTTTAGGAAAAAAAACAGAAAGCTTTCTCTCCTAAGTCTGTAGTACTGCAAACAAAACTAATGACCTCTCCCCATCTAAGAAAGAAACACCGTGAAGATGTCACAACAGTACATGAAAGCTATTTATGATATGAAAGCTACTATCATTTGACCACACTATGTTTAATTTCTTACCTCATGCAAATAAACTCTGGCAAGCGCTAGTAGGACCTTCCCAAAATGTAAGATGTAAGATCTCCTGCCATAAGGAACCATCAGTCTGAATAGAAAAAAGTCAACTGTAGGCAAGAAGGCTAAGATGTTCCTGTGAAGTCCTTTGAGATAATTGCAACATGTCCATACACCAACATTTTTATTGTGCTCCTTAAAAACACACACACAGACGCACACCAAAGTTCCCTCGCTGTGCTTGTCCTTTTTTGGTCTTTTCTGAATCTCTGCATAGCCTACCTTGTTGTTACTCTCTGTTGAGATAACCCATCTCCTACTTCACCATCCTGTCCCTCCTATCTCTAAGATGAAAATCATAACAGATTTTGAATTCCCAAAAGCAACTCCTTTATTTAGACTAGGTGGTTTGAGCTCTCAGAGGTCAGTCAGAGTCAGGACACCAGGAACCCAAGAGAGATTCTGCTGAATGTCTTGCAGTTGGAAAACTAATGGAACAACACTGAAAATAAAGCAAATAGCAATTATTAAAAGCAGGAGAGTCTCTGTGAAACAGTTTGTATTTTATTCGAGAGATATTCTGAAAGACAGAATAAGGCTGCATATTTTGTAAATGTTGATAAAGTTTTTGAAAATGTTCCTTCCCTTTTTCAATAAAGTTGATTTATACTGTATTTTTTTACTACTTAACTGTGGTTGTTTTATATTTAAAATATTATTCAGCTAAATTCACATCATTTGTAACTTTTTTTTAGGCACCGAAGAGGATGTAGTGAAGTCAAAGAAAACTTTCCGAAGTCAAGCTGTGGTAAATCAGAATGCAGAAACAGAGCTTATGCTGGAAGGAGATGATGATGCTGTTAGCCTGCTCCAAGAGAAAGAGATTGACAACCTTGCAGGTAATTATGTTTTTCATTACAATTAAGATATGAGCCAAAAGGCTCTTTTAAACTTGTTAGTTCTTAACCTTTGTGGTTAGTGTCTTAATATTGAGAGCTAAGTATACAATTACAGTACAAACAGATTCTTTGTCTTTTAGATTTAATATGATGTCCTACTTCTGTGAACTAGGGGAACCGATTACAAAGCATGTGCCCATTGCACAGTCTTTCAGCAGAGATGCGAGAAATAGCAATACCTCAAGTGCTCTTATTACTGCCTGTGACTTGTTGAGAATTCTGTAAAACCACTGTGGGAACGTCTCTTTTTTATGGTTAAAATGGAAATGCGGACTAATTCTGTAACTTAGGGTTTTGAGTCAGAGTGTGGCTGTGCGCGTTCATGACCTGATCGCAAGTGCCACGCAGCTTGTGGAGAGACACCTGCGCTCCTGTTGGCACCCACTTCTCTCACTGATGGAGTTAAGGGGGATCTGCAGTATCTCAACCCATCTGTCACAGCGAGGGAAAAAGTTGCCTGTTGTAAATAGGGTCTAAGAAGGAATGAAACTGTAACCAAGCTATGAACTTAGTTAGTTAGCAGATGAGCTGGGAATGAATCCTCTGTAAAAACGTACATGAGAGATCCTTTCTGGTCCTTTCTCCCTGTGTCAAGGTATGCAGTGAGGTCACAGTTTTACCCATTTTCTAGCAGGTTCTGTTACAGTTCTGTCTGCAATAGTACCTTTCCTGGGGACGTAGTCTGGAAAGAAAGGCATGTGGAAAGTTGAAAATGCACTCTCCTCTCAGACGAGATAAAAATGTAAGGACTGTGAAATGCACTATGAAATTTTTATATTTTTAAAATAACTTTATTAAATTACTCCACTAAGGGGAAGTTTTGTGATGTCTCAGGGTTTTTTTTCTGCATGATTGAATTTCTAGAATAGCTACCTTTGCTCCTGCACTTTCTTCTGATGACAAAGTGGAAATGTGTAGCAAAGAGAAGATTATAAATAGATGATAAAAACAAAACAAAACAAACAAATAAACAAAAGCAAAAAATGCCTACATGAAATTCAGTCTCATACTTTGAAACTAGAGCAGAGCTGAGGGAGGAAGTATATGCTTTTATTTGGGAACAACCTTCGGTATATGATTATCACAGTTAATATGTCAATCTGCCTGCTTTCTCAGTCTGCAGGTAACCATTGCTGAGACACTGTTGTCTTAAGTCAATAAAAGAGTGCGTCAAGCAGGACCATTAGTGGGATAATTTGATCAGTGTCCCTTCCTCCTTTAGAAGGAAAACTCGACACTGCTTTGGCTAAGTTCTTATATCTAAGAACAGTGCTTCCAACTAAATATGCATACAGTTGCTATAGTTTAAAGGCTGCAATATGCAATTACATTCAAATATTGATTAGAACTGCAAAGTGGACATGAAAAATTCTTGCCCAGTCTGGCAAATCTCAGTCAGCTATGAAGTTCTTACGTATGCCCCAACACTGCCATTTTGTTCAAACACACCGATGCAATACAATCCCTATAGCTACGCCCCTCTGCAAAAACCTGGTATTTCAGTGCATCCGTAAGTACTTATGTGCAATGTACCCTTTTACTAGAGATCACTACATATATGACAACCCCTGCTCCTTCAGAACATGGCACAGTAATTCTAGTCCTTTCCTTTTACAGTTTGTAGAAATTGGGAGATATTGTCGGTGTTAGAAATTATAGAAATTGGAACAAATTAACTTCTGAAATATTGACGGGACAGCTGTCCTAACAGTGTCAGAAATCAGCCTTTGTGTTCCTTATCAACACTAACAGGGCAAGCAAGGCACCTCCAAGTGTGGTGAGGTGATGTGGTAATGCTGCTATATGCGTACCAAAAACTGTGAGCTTCTCAAAAAGAACCCACGTTCCACTACCTCATTTTTACTATCAGATTAACTGCAGCCTTTGCTACTTGACTCTTGCTCATTTTTGGAGCGGAAATGATTTTGAGAGTTAATGGTCACACACGGTATCATATGTGTCTTCTGTAAATTTTACCAATCAGTGAAAAAAACCTGAGTGCCTCCATACCCTCTGTTTTGCCTCATGAATTTGCATGATTTTGCATATAATGCTGCCACTGCTTTCCACGGTTTTCAGTTTATACAATGTGACTCTGAAACTTGAGTCCAGTAACTGAAATCGAGAAAAGCAGTAGGCAAGGAAGGTGGGTTTTATGCCCAAGAAGGTTAGAACAACCTCTGACAACTCTGAAGAGCAGGTCCCAATAAAGCCACACTGTCCGTTCCTGTCTAATTTTAAAGAGTTATGTAGACTCAGTGTATGTGATCTGGAAGTCTTTGAGATATATCAAGTTATGGTATATCACAGCATCATTTATATCTAGTTACTGTTCAGAGTGGAATGATACATAGGAATTTCTATATTCAGATATGCCTCCAATTTAACTTTAAAGCTTAAATCAATTTAAACCTGGTTTACAATGATTTGGATTGTCTCCATAAGGGATAGGAATTAAACAAAATCATTATAAACCAGGTTTAAATTGATTTAAGATTGTCCACATTTAACTAAAACAATTTAACGTTGTTTATTCCGTGAAACTAAAGCACTTTTTAAAAAGACGAGACCTTAGGTTTTAAAAGACTTTTAACTAAGAGAATATAAATATTGCAGTATTTCAATTTGTGAAGTTAAAACTAAAAAAAAGGAAAGTTTGAAACAGATTGAGACTGTTCATACAAAGTTATCTGTACATACCTTTTGTTCCAGAGACTTTTTATAGTTTGTCATCAACCATGTGGCACAAATCAATGTAAAGTTCACTTTGATAAATTACATATGGGATGGAGAATTTTTAAATAATTATAGTCTGAATATTTTTATTATATAATAATAGTATTCCATATGTTGCAATGGCAGTTGGTCAGATTTCATTATATTAAGTAACATTTTAATAAAATATAAAAATCAGATTCCATGTTATTATGGTCTTAGAATTATGACTTCTAAGTTTGCGTCCAGATTTTTAACTAAAGCAGTATTTTAACTGTCTTACAGTATGAGTTATCAAAAGATGTTGTTCTTGTTTTAGCATTTACTTATTAAAATATTTTACATTTTTCTGTTTCAGTTTTAGCTCCTTTTCTTCCCAGACTGTTCACTTCAAGAGGCAAGTCACATCTCTGTTAGAACTAATGATTGAGATGTCCCAGTCAATTTTAACAGTTTTCTAATATATTGTGAACCTGTGGGTAATACAATCAAATCCACTGTAGTGAGTTGATATTACTAACTCTTCTCCTTTTCTTTTCCTTTTCGATTTTCTAATGCTGCAGTAGGGCTCTTAAATACTTACCTTTTCTCTTAAGAGCCTGAGAATGCAAATTTGCTAACAGTTTGTCTTCTGCTTAGTAGGTGATTTTTTCAAAATGAAAAATATGTGGAAGTATTCTAATATTGTAAGCTGGCATCCTCAAAGGGAAATATGTTTTAATAGATAATTAATATTCTTTCCCCAACCTTTTTTTTTTTTAAAGCACTGATCTTGCACTGAAATAGGTCATAAAAAAAAAAAAACAATAAATGTTGAACTACTCAGGTTTTATGAATTTTACATTTTAGAAATACATTCTCTTCTCTTTGTTGTGAAGTTGCAGTTGACTTGCTGAGAATTGTTTGTACGCACAAGAGAGCAGAATTTAGCCTTAATGACATTTTTGAAAGATACATGTTCTGTAACCGGAGCACGTTTCATCTATTTGGTCATATGGCTGGTGGCAACAGCAAATAGGCCTCAGCCAAGCAAAGTATCCCTGACGAAGTCTTTTGCTACTCTCAAAAGAGTAGTTTCTAGAAAGAAAAAAGGAAATAAGGATATGAGGCTTTGGGTTATTTTAGGAAGACAAAAGGCTTTGGCAGGCATCTGTCTGGTTACTTGCATGGGCTCAGTCAACTCAGAATCTGATTTCCTCATAAGCCATGGTGAAATACAGCCTCACAACAGTCTTGCAAGAATAAATATGTATTATTCACTCCATTATACAAGGAGATTGAGCAACTCATCCAAATAAACCCAAGGAAAGCCACTAACTGCTTTTAATGCATCTTAGTCGTAACATATCTTAACCTTCACTACAGAATCTTCCCTTCTTCTTACGCATCTGTCTCTAGGTGGAAGGAAACCCCCCCCAGTGCAAATGTGCCAGGAATGTTTGAGTGAGACGCAGCACCCCAATACTGCCCTGACTTTTAGCAACCCTGAGCTTCAGTGTAGAAATATTTCTAGAAGGCAGTATTACTATTGCTAAACAAGAGCTGATCTTCCATCCAAGCCAGTATGGGTAGCTAGTCCACATTGGCTTGAGGACTTAATGTGATAAGCCCTCTATCCAGACTTCTTGGTAGTGTGTTGAGTGTATTGACTTACTGCCCTGTGCTAAGGAACACACTGGGTCATGGGGATTTGACAGCTTGTATTATTATTAATGAGATGTAAGACCTCTCACTTCCAGGTCATCTGTTTGAAGTCCAGACAAGACTGGTGGTAACCAAACATTATCAACATCTGTTTTGTGCCCTATGCAAAATAAGCCTTTTGTCTCATTTCAGACAGACTAAGAGAAATCATCACGATTCTGAGTAATTTCCAATTGAAAAAATATTTGATGCTGTTGTTAGAGGAAATTGGAATAATGCCAAAAGTTCTACTACATAGAGTTACAGTTAAAATTGTATAGCAGTACCTAAAAAAAAAAAGTAAATCATTTAGCCCATAGGGAAATTGTCTATTCCAGGTTCTAACAAAAGACTCATTTACATTTCTGAAATTATTTTGAAGCCTTGCATAGGGCCAGATGCAGTACTAAAAGCACTAACACACCAAAGAACTGCATCTAAAGCCACCAAAAGTTCACACAAAATAAGTATTTGGGGTGGAAAACTTAAATACAATTGACTCATCTTTACATATATATAATATGCATTTAAGATTTATACATATATATATATTTAGTTCCAGTAACATTTCTTATGGCCAAAATCTGAGACTGAATTTTCTTTACAAGAGTTGACCAGTGTAGACAATCTCTGGTAAGCAAAGCTGATTGCAACTTTTTCTTACCTATTCTTGAGGAGTAATGGAGGGGCACATTTTCTTGGTTTTTCTTCTGTTGCCATCTCAAAATGATTTTAAAGTATGTAGGCTCACTTCCGTTGTTTTTGTTAATGGAGTTAGACAAATGGTAGATTTTCTTAATTAAAGAAAAGAACAATAACTTGGGCCT